ATTCTTTAAGAAATTTAGCCGTAAAATACCTAAATTGAAACAATCTCGTGCTAGTTCAAATAAAAAGGACTCAAATGAATTCCACCAGTGTTAGTTTCAGTTCTAATCTTGGAAATGTGATGGTTGAACTTTGTTCGAAGGCTAAAATATTATTTTAGTCCCTTATAATAATTGTTTGTTTCAATTTAGTCCCATTTTTATTTTTTGTCTCAATTTAGTCTCTAATAAATTAATTAGTTGTAATGTCGGACTTTCGTCCAAATTATTTAAACGGAATTAACTGTTGGTCACGTGGATACCACGTAGATGCATAGGTGGATACTATGTGGATGCCAAATTTTTTGAAAACACCTGGAACTAGAACGGCTCGTTCTGAAACCAGAACGGGTTGTTTTGGGTGCACTCTTGGTGTGTTAATTTTGCATCCGGAACGTTTCAGAACGGGCCGTTCTGGTTTCAGAACGGGACATTCTGGTTCCAGGCTGCTAAACACAAACGGTTCACGGTTGTGAATCGTGGAAGGAAAAAGACCGAAGGTACAAAATATTTCAAACATTGGATTTGGTAATATTGTCAATGGAAATTGATAACTTCAATTGCTAAATAGTTAGGCTATACAGTGTATCATTAAGGACAATGCAGTGTATCACTAAAGACAATGGTAGCATATTTTATTTCATTATTAGTCAAACTAGAGTGAACCACTTACTACCAAATTGACACTATACAGTAAAGGATGAAATGACATGGTATTTTTCCTTGAAGTCATTAACGATGTACCCCAACAACAACAACCTGTTCTTGAAGAGGTAGAACCTGAAGTAAAGAAAGAGGATACACAAGACTAACATTTCACCACACAACCACATGCAGGGACGGATCTAAGTTAATAGTGGGGGACTTGCCCCCATTAAAATTTTTTTCATTCTTTTTTTTTTATATATAAAATATTAATAATTTTATAAAATATATATTATTAATTATATTTTAATTATGTTGTTATATCTAATATAATAAATACAGTAATATTTTTTTATATTTTATTTTATTGTTTAATTATTTTTTATTTTGTGATAAAATTATCTTCATTTTTAATGAAGAAAAAAATTTACTTACTCCAAGAGTAAGTCTTGATAGATTTATTCTACTTAATAATTAATGTTCTATATCAAATTTTTAAAAATTTAATTGTTAAATTAAAAAACTTTTCATGTATAGATCAAATTTATAAAAAAATTAAAAAAATTAAAAATCATATGATACTTCGTTAAATAATTCAAATTAACATATAAAATATTTTTGTTTTAAATGAGTGTAAAAATTTAGAGGACACTAAAAGAAAACATATTAATAATTTTATTATGTTTATCCTATTAATTTTTATCATTTTATTCCTCTAATTTTAAATAAGTTGCAAAAAATTATAAAATGACACTAAAATATTTTTTCAGACAGAAAGAGGAAAAGGAAAAGTTATCACTCTATTTATAAGACAATTGTATTTTATGACCATAAGTAATTTTAAAATTTTTACCATAAAAAATATTTTTCAAAATTATTATATTTTTTAATAAAATTAATATAGAATATTCTATTATCTTTACTTAATAAGTTGGCGTTCTGGAATGGACCGTTCTGATACAAGAACGGCCCATTCTGATTTCAGAACGGACCGTTCTGATGTACTGGTGGTGTGTTAATTTTTGCATCTGGAACGGCCCATTTCAGATGCAAAATTAACATACCAAGAGTGCACCCAGAACGGGTCGTTCTGGTTCCAGTTGTTTTCGAGCAATTTGGCATCCACATGGCATCCACATATGCATCTACGTGGCATTCACGTGGCCGACAGTTAACTCCGTTTAAATAATTTGGACGAAAGTCCGACATTGAAACCTATTAATTTATTAGGGACCAAATTGAGACAAAAACTAAAAGTGAGACTAAATTGAAACAAACAATTATTATAAGGGACTAAAATAAGTTTTTAGCCTTGTTTGAACGTCATGTAACAACCTTTCTAATTTAGAAAAGTTATGTAAATTATATTCGCACGAGGAAAAGAGGTTTATTCCGATGCCAAAAGCGTGTGTATGTGATATTTTCAAGGGAATATTAGAAGTTATTTCGTATAACTCTTGTAACTTCTATTTTTAATCAAAATTAAAAATAAATAAATTTTAGAGAATATTTTTAAAAATATTAAAATAAACAAAACACCTTTCCTATATTTACACAAATAGAATTTTGGGTTATATTATTTGTAGGAATATGATTCTCAAAATTTCAAGAATATAACATCTTTTGATGAAATAAATGCTCTTTAGATACTATAGATACTATTTTTATCTCGAAATTTCAAGAATATAACATCTTTCGGTGAAACAAATGCTCTTTAGACACTATAGGTACTATTTTTATGCAAAATTTTATTACACAAGTAAACTTAGTTGTTATTCACATGTACATTATCTTGATCATATTAGTTAACATAAAATCTTCATCATACCCCATTAACATCGAGGCGCACCCCATCACATTGAGTACTAATATGATAATGGGTAGAAGGTAGGCTCACCATTAATCGTTAAAATAAACTTTGATAAAATGAATGTGAGTTTAAGTCTAATTCAATTTTACATAACTAATTTTTGTATATTATATTTGATGTAGGATTTCTAACAAGGTTTTTCTCAAACCACTTCTGGTTTACAAGTATTTTTTCTACCAGTCTCTTCAGGCTCGATCGCAAATAAAGGTGTTGAGTGTGTTTGCAACTCTCACAGAGAGGATAATGTAGTTTCTACACTCACTAAGGTGCGTAACCATAGTTTTACAGGAATAAGTGTCTAAGTGTTGTGTTTACTCTCGTAAGGATGATAGAATATTAACAACACTCACTAAGATGGACTATCTTAATTTTTACACAGATATATAGGAAATGCTTTTGAGAAGAATTGCAGCTTATACTCTTTCGCTTTCTTTTTCTTATTGCATGTTTTCTCTACTTCTTTGTTCTTCCTCTTCTTCTCCTTTGCCTTGATACTTATAGACATTTAGTAAATTTGTCTGTTGTTTGAATTCAAATTTTTCCATTGGAGCGTAGCTTCATGTCGTTGCAGGTGGAGGCTTGTTCATGGCTATGTGAATCTCTTCATTTAATGCATTTGATCTTGCATTAAATGTTTACTAGTATATGTGAAGTCCTTTTGTGTAGTTGATTACTCCAATGTCTGACTTTAATCATAATCTAGGCATATTTGTACTTGTCTCATCAGTTTAGCTGTTGCGGCGCTATTTATCTCTGAAAAGTAGGTGTCCTTTCTCTAATATACGCAGCTTTGACTTGTAACTCCACGCTTGCCTATTTTTCTTCTTTTTTGTATTCCAGTTTGATGTACTTTGGTGTTTCTTGTATGATTTCACTCAATTGTGATTAGTGGACATCAGACGCGCTTCATCATTTTTAACTGCGCTTGTATATATGATACTTCGTCTGATCTTGACTATCCTTTATGTCTGATCATGCGAGTGATAACTTCGTCTTCTAGTTCTTTAGGCTTTATCTGATGATTTCAACACTTCATGTTGATGTTTGACCAACTTTCGTCCCGTGCTTGACTTAGTTTCATACAACGCTTGTTTCGGTCTTACAACTGATTTCTCAGGCTTCAGCTGATAGATTCGTCTTATGTTGTATTTGATTTATACTTGGATCAACTTTAGATTTGATACTAGCTTTTGCCATCGTCTGATGTCTTTGTTCAACTTGATTATGCTTGATCATATTTGTCCTTCATTTTTCCTGAACTTATTGTTATTTATCTGAAACACTAATACACATGTTAGCAATAACAATATGTATTATATTTGTCATATTCAAAACCTCGATGGGAATTTGCAAATGTGCTTCATCTGACTTAACAATACCAAGAGTGATAGGCACAACAACCAAAACAAAAAATGTTGTCATTTTTAGGCCTTGGATGCTTCAAAATTTACACCCTTCTACAAGAAACTATTGGAGTTGTCTTCAAGGACTATCCGGATGGAGAAGGATCCTAAATTGTTAGTGATAACGAGTATGATCTTTTTCATCTTATGTTGAAACTCATGGAAGTTGATGATGTCTTTCTAGTTGTCGTTGACCTTGTTGAAAATGGAGTCATGGAGCCTAGCATGTTGCTATGAAATTAATGTCGAAGCGTGTCTCGATAAGGTGCCTCGTGCGAAGCTCTGAGCACGCATAATCATTTAATTTTGCCTTTGGCTACAATTAATGGTGGTGGGAAGTCCTTTGTTGGTCTTGGGTGAAGAGGAAAAAGATTCGATATAGGTGATGTATTATAACATTGTAAAACTTAGATTGATTTAATGGCTAAAATTTGTCGTAGATAGTGGATTACCTATAAAAGTAGTCCACTTTGAAATTTGTCATAATAATAATGAATGTCAAGTTTCACAAGTTTGAAGCTAAAACAGACGAGAAGCTTAATCTCATTGCCTTACTTCAATAGTTAGCCTCAAATACATAAATCTTGTCATGTTGTTGACAAATGATGATGGTCTCCTTCTTATCATAGTCTTTGATGATGACAAATGGGACGAAAGATATATTGTTATTTTGACCGTGTTTTTAACATTTTTATGTGAATGAATGCATGTGCCATGTCACTTATACTTATATGTGAAATAATATATGTTTTGCATGCTTTGATTTAATCTTTTTTGGGGGGTTTAATTTTCATATTGTTTATTTTTCATTTTATTGCTCTAATATGAAGATGAACATATCAGCTTAGAGTTTTATACCTTGTTTTGTCAAAATACAATATTATGTGTAATTATTAGAAATAGGATATTATTGTAATAGCCACATTCAAACGAGTTTGTTTGCCTATTACACTAAAATGAGAAACAAATAACAATATTATTTTGAAAGTTGATAAATTCAAATATTATTGTCTCTATTAAATAATTTGCTAACCTTAGGGTACCTTCTCACCCTCCTACATCAAATATTGAAGACATGCAAAAAAAAAGTCAACATATTCTAAGTCATTCTATTTCTTCAAAATCAACGGGTCAATCTTCTCTTGTTGATGGTGATAGTGTTGAAAAAGTTAGTGATGATAGAAAACACACATCTCCTTCATTTTGGAAATTGTTAGCCTTGAATCTCCCTGAGTGGAAACAAGCATGTTTGGGGTGTTTGAGTGCAGTGTTTTTTGGAGCAATTGAGCCAATGTATGCATTTGCATTGGGGTCCATGATATCAATTTTTTTCCTCACGGATCATGATGAGATTAAAAGGAAAATTGCAACCTATTGCATATTTTTTGCGGGGTTGACTGTGTTTCAATTGGTTGTTAATATCGTCCAACATTACAATTTGGCTTACATGGGAGAATACTTGACCAAAAGGGTCAAAGAGAGAATGCTTGCCAAGATACTCAGTTTTGAAGTTGCATGGTTCGATCAAGATGAAAATTCCACAGGTGTTGTTTGCTCTAGACTATCTACAGAAGCTAATATAGTAAGTTCTTGTTTTCATCTAAACATACCATGCAATGTTGCATATTATTTCACTCTTTTTTATCAATGACGAAAATGAAATAATTATAGTAGGATTTAGAAAACTACAATTACAAAATGTGATGTTTATAAAAACTTAAAATCAATTGATGTTATATCTCGAGAAGATTTTTTCCCCTTGTTTATCCTTTTTTCCCCCTTTTTATTTTACATATTAGTCAAACTCTATAAACAAAGTGATATTTTTATAAACTTAAACATGTTTTTAGTCTTTTAAATATGAGGTGTATTTGTTTTTTAAATATGAGGTGTATTTGTTTTTCACCCCTTAAATTTAAAACGGAAAATTGCAATCACCTCCCCTTTAGTTTTTAAAATCATTTACCTTCCTTAAAATAACTTTATTAGTTAAAGTATGAAAAAGAGAAAAAAAATAAAAGTCAATTTATATTAGAGTTAATCACCTATACACTGTCAGTGTAAAGTTCTTTTACACGGACAACCAATCATATATTTTAATAGTGACATGTCAGTTGCTTATTTAATAAAATAATAATAATAAAACAAGTAACTTTAAACGATATGATTGGTTGCTAGTATAAAAAACTTTATACTGGAAATGTAAAGATGATTAACTCTTTATATTGAGTCATGCATAATGTTGTGTCTTTTTTATGAAAATTTTCATTGTTCTTTAGTTTTAAAAATAATATTTTTTTGGTCCATTTTTTAAAATTGTTTTTTGAAGGTATATTTTTTAAATCACAACACATGATATTTAGGATATCATTTTGGAGTTAAAATTTAGTAAGAGATTAAGTCTCATTCAATTGTTGACACTTACCTTAATAATTTGTTCTCATTTAATAGTACGCAAATGGTATTATCTTATATAAGGGGTTATATGTATAGCTTAGATAAATAAATAAGGGAGGTTAGTATTCACTTAAAAATTAGAGGGAAGGTGTATGTCATTTAAAAATATCTCAAAGAAGGTCAGGGCAATTTTCCCAATTTAAAAGTGAGTTTTTTAGTCTATATAATTTTAAAGAAATGTTATTTTAGTTCACTTACTCAAATAAGTTTATCAATTGACCACTAGGGTTAGCCTAGTGGTTGGGTGGGGAGGGGTTGGGGTAGTTAGAAGCATGAGGATCTAGGTTCAATCCTCATTGCGACCATCTTTGTAATCTTTCCTATCTTTACTAAAAAATAAGTCTATCAATTAAAATTCATTTATTACTATTTTTTGCACAAAATTTACTTACTAGTTTCCTTGTTTGTTAATGAAAAAATCTCATTAAATTCATTTGATATTACATAACTGTTTTAATTTATCAATGTTATTTGTGTTACTAATGACCTTGAGTAAACAAGATTTTTTAAGATTATAAAATTTAAAAAGATCAATTTTAAATTTGAGGGACTAAAAATATATTTATCTTAAATTTAAGAAACTAAAACAATATATTCAAGCATATTTTTATAACTTTCCTATCTTTACTAAAAAATAAGTCTATCAATTAAAATCCATTTATTACTATTTTTTGCACAAAATTTACTTGCTAGTTTCCTTGTTTGTCAATGAAAAAATCTCATTAAATTCATTTGATATTACATAACTATTTTAATTTATCAATATTATTTGTATTACTAATGACCTTGAGTTAACAAGATTTTTTAAGATTATAAAATTTAAAAACATCAGTTTTAAATTTGAGAGACTAAAAATATATTTATCTTAAATTTAAGAAACTAAAACCATATATTCAAGCATATTTTTATAACTTTTATTTTATGTTATTGTGATTGACATTTTTGTTGGGTCTTATCCCTTGTTAGTTTTGCTTTCAGTACTTTATTGTCAATTGTGATTGTGATTCATCTTTTAGTTCTAATTTTCAAACTTCTATGCTAATTATGGCATTTTATAATTTACAGGTGAGGTCTTTAGTGGGAGATAGAATGTCTTTGTTGCTACAAACTACCTCCGCCGTGGTAATAGCATGCACTGTGAGCCTAATCATTGCATGGAGATTTGCCATTGTATTGATAATTGTTCAACCTATATCCATTGCAAGTTTCTACACAAGAATTGTAATCCTAAAGGGCATGTCTAAAAAGGCCATCAAAGCCCAAGATGAAAGTAGCAAAATAGCAGTTGAAGCTATTTCCAACCTTCGAACCATCACTTCCTTTTCCTCACAAGACCGAGTCATAAAAATGCTACAAAAAGCCCAAGAGGGCCCAAGCCATGAAAGCATTCGACAGTCATGGTTTGCTGGCATTGGGCTTGGATGTGCCCGAAGCCTTACAACTTTCAGTCGGGCTTTAGAATATTGGTATGGCGGAAATCTTGTTTACCATGGCCACATTACTTCAAAAGCATTGTTTGAGACCAATTTAATAATGGCAAATACTGGTAGGATGATAGCAGATGCTAGTAGTCTCACTAGTGACCTTGCTAAAGGAGCAAATGCCATTGGCCTAGTTTTCACAATCTTAGATAGAAACACAAAAATAGAGGCTGATGAAATGAGTGCATACAAGCCCCAAAAGTTAATAGGCCATATAGAACTCCAAAATGTTTATTTTGCATACCCATCAAGACCCAATGTGATGATCTTCCAAGACTTCTCCATCAAAATTGATGCAGGCAAATCCACAGCATTGGTAGGGGGAAGTGGGTCTGGAAAATCAACTATAATGGGCTTAATAGAGAGATTTTATGACCCACTTAAAGGGATAGTGACTATGGATGGTAGAGACATAAAGTCATATAACCTTAAGTCACTAAGGAACTACATTGCACTTGTGAGCCAAGAGCCAACACTTTTTAATGGGACCATAAGGGAAAACATTGCATATGGAGCATTTGATAAGACTAATGAAGTTGAGATCATTGAAGCAGCAAAGATAGCTAATGCTCATGACTTTATTGCAAGCATGAAGGATGGTTATGACACATGGTGTGGAGATAGAGGAGTGCAGTTATCTGGGGGCCAAAAGCAAAGGATTGCAATAGCCAGGGCTGTGTTGAAGAACCCAAAAGTGTTACTTTTGGATGAGGCCACCAGTGCACTTGATAGTCAATCCGAGAATGTAGTTCAAGATGCTTTGGAGAAAGTAATGGTAGGAAGGACCAGTGTCGTTGTGGCTCATAGGTTGAGCACCATAAGGAATTGTAATCGAATTGTTGTATTGGATAAAGGAAGGGTTGTAGAAGAAGGGACTCATTCCTCTTTGTTGGCTAAGGGACCAAGTGGAAATTACTATTCTTTGGTCAGTCTTCAAAGAAATGCAACAACAACCACTAGTGCAACTGATATCGAATACTAACTAATCCTAATCAAGCCAAGTTATTTAATTTGACAATTTGAGATTATTAATTGATCTTGTTTTGGTTTTGAGTCAAGTTATATTTTTGCTTTTTTTTACTATCGAAAAGGAAGTTAAAAAGATATATCTTGTGCTCCCTCCGACCACGAACACATGAACATGCACACACTCTCACCTACGTACACATAGACACACTCACACATGGTGGTGGCTCATAGGATAAGCATTATAAGAAATTGGGATCGAATTGTTGCGTTGGATAAAGGGAGGGTTGTAGAAGAATGGACTTGTTCCTCTTTGTTAGCTAAGGGATTGAGTGGAATTTATTGCTCTTTGGTGAGTCTTCAAAGAAATGAAACAACCACAAGTGCTAATGATAATGAATACTAACTAACTAATCCAAATCAAGTCAAGTTATTTAATTTGTCAATTTGAGATTATTAGTTGATCTTCTTTTGATTTTAATTAGTTGCAGGCACTAGTGGAAAAATAGGATATTACATCACTCATTTTATGTCGGATATACAAAGAACCGACGTAATAAAAGCGCGGTGGCACGTTTGGTAATTTTCTTAAATTATTTACGTCGGACCTAAACAGGGCCGACGTAAATAACCCACAGGATGCTTAAAAGAAGGTGTCTTGCGCGCACTAGCTAGTTCAAAAATTTCATGGCTTCCTTCTCCCGCCTCCTCCTCAAATCGTCCACTTTCTTCTATCTGTTTTTCTTCCTCATCCCTCCGCCTCCTCCTCAAATCGTGGCTATTTTTCTTCTTCGGAGGGTTGCGTTTTTTCTTCTTCGGAGGGTTGCGTTTTTCTTCTTCGGAGAGTTGCGTTTTTCTTCTATGAGGTAGTATCTTCTATCAAGTTTGTGTTTTCTGAGATGTTTTTTTTCGTAATAATGTTTCTGTTGCATTTCGCGCATGTTTTTGAAGTTGGAGAAGTGACCAAGTCTGGGTTTGGAGGCGCAGTCCTGGGTCTATCAAGCAGAACGGGCCGTTCTGCTTGGAGAACGGCCCGTTCTGACTAGAGAACGGCCAGTTCTGCTTGTAGAACGCCCCGTTCTCCATGGAAAATGGCCCGTTCTGCAAGCAGAACTGGCCGTTCTCCAATCAGAATTGGCCGTTCTCCAATCAGAACGGGCCGTTCTCCTTGCACTCAAATTTTTTTTATAAAATTTTTATAACCTTTTTACGTCGGACCTAGGCATGTCCGACGTAAATTTATGTCGATTTTCGTGTCCGGACGTAAATTTACGTCTCCCGCTTCTACGTCGGATGTTTTTCTGACGTAAAATCCCCTAAAATGACCGACGTAAAATGTGTATTATGTACTAGTGAGGTAATATTTTTTAACCATTAAAAATGATGTTATAATATATATATATATATATATATATATATATATTTCTCATAAATGATTAGACTATATATATATATATTATCTTGTTCGACTCTTACGGTGGTGACTTATAGATTGAGTACCAAAAGGATTTCTAATCAAAGTGTTGTGTTGGATAAATGGAGAATTTGTAGGAGAATGTACTCATTCCTCTTTGTTGTCTAAGGGACTAAGTAAAATCAAAGAATCATAAAAGTAACTCATTACGTAATTGATTAAAATATAAAAATACTGAATAATTACACAATAATCTACTTATTTATATTAGTGTTGTGTATCTAATTAAGTAAATTACCATTGGTCACTTTCTAAGTAGAAATCCAAGTGATGCTGAACATGTATAGATTCCAAGTACTCTCCTTAATCATGAAGATTCAGATTATATTTCTACTAGCTCCCTTCTAAGACAAAATAAAAATTTCTTGGTTGGATTAATTATACCTGTTCTTACTGGAGATCTGCTGTAGAGGTGATCCGCCGAGTAAGATTGGTGAGCCTCCTTCGCTGGTACGCTTGATGTTCCAAGATGGGGGTGGTACCTGCAAAAGAGACTCCGATGCTAAAGTTAGTGTTTGTGGGTGTATGTCTCGTATAAGTAATGCACGTACCTTAGTATGGATTAGGGTTGCGTTGGGCCTTGGGCCTGAGATCAGTTGTGATCTAATTAGATAGCGGATCTCGTCTGGACCGAGATCTCCTCAGATCAGTTATGATCTGGTTAAGTGACGAGCTGACGTCACGTAGCGCGTATCCGAGGTCGTCATGCGCTGCGATACCGAGCTGGGAGCTCGGCCTTGCAGTACGGATAGTACACTAGCCCCCCGAGCTCCAAAGACCGTGGGTCAAGGAGTTAAGACCGAGCTCGTCAAGTGGCTGTGACCCCTCGCGTACGCGTGCTTGTTGAGATGCCATTTGTCATAACTGGTCATCTCCCGAGAACGTGCAAGTGGCGCGTTAATGGGAGTGACGGTTATGTAATGATGGTTTGCCTTTGTCATAATTGTTCTCAATTAATGTGTCATCAGACGCGTCCCTTGGCTGACACGTGGCGTGACCGTTTTGAATGTGGGAGAAACCCTTTTCTCTCCCTCGCGCCTCTTCCCCTTTCACTTTACTCTTTTTTTCGCTCTCTTAGCTTCTTGTGCACATTGTTTCTCTCGTTTTCGTTTGTCCTCCGTCTCCATTTTCTCCATTTCCGCTGTCGTTTCCGGTAACCCCGTCATTGTTAGGGTTGTTTTCTGAAGAAGAGTACCAGGTACTTCCTTTCTACACTTTTCTTTTTCTCCTTCTTTCCCAACCTTCTTCGAGTCTTTCTGTTTCTTTAATGGCTGGTGGAAATGGTGCTGGTTCTTCTGCGCCTGCCAGGGGCAAGATGCGCGGCAAGGCGGTAGCTGCCGGGAAAGCCATTTCCAAGAAGAGGGACCCGTCTCCGCCCAAGGACCTGGAGCCAGGCATCCCTAGTTACGACTGGGTCAAGCGCAATATGGGGGGGGTCCAAAGTGTGTTCAGGTCGTTTCTGGAGGTCAACGCAGTTTGGAGAACGCACCGAATTTGTGACCCTTCCATTTCTCGGATGATCCAACACGAACCCTGTCCGGCCAGTGAGGGTGTGTACATGGGGAGGTCTATTGACCCTCCCCATTTCTATGTCTACCAGTGTCTCTTCAGGGACCTGAGCGTCTGTCTTCCTTTTTACTCAGTTTGAGTGTGATTTTTTGAATTACATCGACGCGGCTCCTTGCCAGCTGCACCCCAATAGCTGAGGTTTTTTGAGGGCGTTTCAAGTTCTGTGTACAATCCTAGGGATAGAGGTGTCCCTTCGCGTTTTTCTTCATTTCTGCCAGTTGAAAATAGGTGTTCCGCCTTACGGCGTGCTGTCGCTGAGTGGGAGTAGAGATGGGGGTTTGTTTACCCTTTACGCCCAATCATATAAAAATTTTAAGCAAGATTTTTTTTGGGTTGCCCTTGTGGATGTCGACCCTTTAGAGGATGGGGGTTTCTACTTCGGCGGGTTGCCGAAGTTCCCTTTCTATTGGTGCCCCAAACCGTCTAGGTTTCACGGGGTGGACCACTCGCAATTGACGACTTCGGAGGCGGCCGCCATTGAGAATCTTTCTGTGCTTCCTCGTCCGCTGGATTGCAAGCTTGTCCTGTCGCTTGCGAACTCGGCGCACAAGGAGAGGGTCCTAGAGAGTGAGTATTTTGTCTTTCGGTAGCTTGTTGGAGTTTGTATAATTTTTCTTTGCTGATGTGTTTTATTTCCTGTCTGTAGGCATCATGGGGAAGAACTTGTGGCGTGAGCTGAAGCATCGCTACAACGTTACCGAGCTCGAGGTCCCCGAACCTCAAGAGGAGAGTGTTTCCCCCCTGAATGTCAACTGAAAAAGAAAGAGGGGTGGGAAAGAGGTCGGGGGGACCTCTGCTCCTCGCGAAATAGAGGAGGTTACTTCCAAGGCCGCTGATGCTGACGCGGTGGATCTGACTGGAGTCCGTCGCCCGACGAGGCTATTAGGGTGGCTACCGAGGAGGTGGCGGCGACTACCGAGCCTACTGCTCAGCCTGTCGGGGTGTCCGTCCGAGCTGCTGAGCGAGTCGTCGAGACTACTGTGGTGAGTATCTTGCTTATTTGATTTTTCTTCTATCTTTGATGTTGCTTTTCCGCCCTTGAAGGATTTTTTGGTTTCTTGTAGGCGGGGAGTGCCGCCGAGGTGGCGACTCAAGTTGCTGAGCAAGTCGCGCCCCCGTTGAGGAGGTGAGTAGTGTATCTTCCCCCTATGTCTTGTTTCTCTATTTGAGTTTTGTCTTAAAAGGAATGTATACTTTTGCAGGCGAGCAAGGCCGCCGAGGTCTTGGAGACTCCGAGGTTGGAAGTGCTTGAAGTGGACCCTCCTATTGCTGAGCAGGGGGCGCCTGCTTCCACTTCTGTTGAGGCTCATGGCGAGGGACTGAGCTCTGAGATCCCGACGACGACGCCTGTCATGTCTGCGCCTTCCTCTGGTCCATCCCAGGGGGCTTCCCAAAGCCGATACATTGCCCACCGCTTCGGGCAAGACCGTTCGGACGTGAGGTTGGATCATGTTAGCGCCTCGGCTGACATGGATTCGTTGTGGAGCGCGGGGGTGATCGCCGAGAAGTTCTTTCCCAAGGGTTCGGTGAGCTCGAAAGATCAAGGGATGATCGAAGAGGCTGGGCCTGTGGAAGGTTTTGACGCAGCCCAGGTCCTTCTGTAGAGGACCATGGCGATTGTGGACCACTAGAAGCATAGGTAGTCCAAACAACAGGAGGATCTAGTTAGATTGAGGAGCCGGATCCAGCCTTTGAGGGAGGAGAACAAGGCTCTGAAGGCGGAGAACCAGGTCCTGAGTGCTGCTCTTGGCGAGGCGAAGATGCAGGGGGCCGAGCTTCAGGCAACGAAAGGCGATCTCGCCAGGGTTCAGAAGTCGCTGGAGATCGCCTTGCGCTCCAATGAGAATTATGCTTCCTAGGTGAGTGAGCTGCAGGGGCTCGTTGCCTCGTCCCGAGGTCGGATGCAATCTTTGGAAGACGAGGTGACGTCTTCCCGAGGCCAGGTTCGCTCTTTGGAAGATGAAGTGACGTTTCTGAAGAGCGAGCTGGTGACGGCGACTGAGGAGCGTCTCCGTGATGAGGTCGTTCTTGGTAGCAGGGAAGAGGAGATTGCTGCCCAGAAAGTAGACCTTTCGAAGCTGGAGGTAGAGAAGGCGGCGCTGGAGAGGAGACTTGAGGAGGTTGAGCGTTCCATTGTGGTGGAGCATAAGAGGGATTTCCTCAAGGCTGCTCGCCAAGCCAGGCTCCTTGCGCCCGGATTCGACTTCTCCGCCATGCATGTGGAGAAGGTAATCCGCTTCGGGAAGCTGGTCAAGGAGGATGATGTTGAGGATAGCTCTAGCGAGAATGCCTCTGTGTAGGCTAAATATTTGTAATAGCCTAGTTTAATTTTTTCCTGCTTTACTTTTCTTGTTGAATTCAAGTGTGGAACTTTTAGAAACGTTGTTGTATATATGTGTATTTTTTGCCTATTTGCCATTGCGCTTGTTTCTGTTTTTTGTGTTCAGGCTTGATCGTTTCTTGTTTGCGCGTTTTGAGACATGTGTTCAATGTTTGTTGTATGCTTTTATGCTTGGTGATACTTTTCTTTGAGTCGATCATGCTGAGGTCCGAAATCGGCCTCAGATACTCGTTACGGAATTTTTTGTGAAGGTTCGAACTCGACCTCAATCATACTGAGGTTCGGACTCAACCTCAGATTTTCATTGAGTAATTTTTTGTGAAAGTTCGAACTCGACCTTAATCGTACCGAGGTTCGGACTCGACCTCAGATTTTCATTGAGTAATTTTTTGTGAAGGTTCGAACTCGACCTTAATCGTACCGAGGTTCGGACTCGACCTCAGATTTTCATTGAGTAATTTTTTGTGAAGGTTCGAACTCGACCTTAATCGTACCGAGGTTCGGACTCGACCTCAGATTTTCATTGAGTAATTTTTTGTGAGGGTTCGAACTCGACCTTAATCATACCGAAGTTCGGACTCGACCTCAGATAGACGTGTTAAGGTTCGTACTCGACCTAAAATAAACGTGTTAAGGTTTGTACTCGACCTCAAATTTTAGCGTAGAACGTGTTTCATCAAGGTTCGAATTCGACCTCGGATTTTAGCGTTTTAAGGTTCGTACTCGACCTCGAACTTATAGTAGAATATATTTTACCAAGGTTCGAATTCGACCTTGGATAAGCGCGTTAAGCATAGAGCATTTTGTGGTAAAATGATGAAGATAAAAGAATGTGAATAGGAGAGAATGAGTTACTTTATTGATGAAAATATGCGTCTCGTTAAAAACCCTCTCAACCAAAACCCATTTTTCTGTTTTTTGGGACAAAAGACTGAGGCGGGAAAAGAGTGCACAACTCATTCGTACAAAGTTTAACTGAAATAAAACTTGAGATGCGTAGCATTCCGAGTTCGCGGTATAGGTTTTCCGCTGAGTTCTTCCAGTCTATACGCTCCATTTTCCAAGTCTTCTGTAACTCGGAAGGGGCCACCCCAAGTGGGTGCAAGCTTTCCATCTAATGTGTCCTTCCGTGCTTCGCCTAGCAATCGCCACACCAAGTCACCAACTCGGAAAGAGCGAGGTCTTACTCGGTTGTTGTATCTTCGGGAGGCTCGGAGCTTGCAGGCTTCTTCGTGGATTTGAGCTTCATCTCTAAGCTCATCAACCTAGTCGAGGTCGGCTGCCAACTCTTGAGCATTCTGCTCGCTATTGAAAACTTGACGTCGGTGGGATGTCTCTCCAACTTCCACTAGGATCATTGCGTCAGTTCCGTAAGTTAGCCTGTAAGGCGTTTCTTGCATGGTTGACTGGGGAGTGCAATGATATGCCCAGAGGATGCTGGGAAGTTCGTCGGGCCACTGTCCTTTGGCGTTCCCCAACCACTTCTTGAGTTCCTGGAGGATGACCTTGTTGGCTGCTTCGGCTTAGCCATTGGTTTAGGGGTGTTCCACCGAGGTTGGAATATGTTTGATACCGAGTTCGCGAAGGAAATCCTCGAATCCCTGTGCGATGAACTGTCGGCCGTTATCAGTAACAAGGGTGTGAGGGATTCCGAACCTGCAAATGATATTCCTCCAGGTGAATTTTTGCACGTTCTCAGTGGTGATTTTGGCGAGTGGACATGCCTCGATCCACTTGGTGAAGTAATCGATCGCCACCAGGAGGAACTTCAGCTGACCTTTCGCAGGGGGGAAAGGCCCGAGGATGTCCATCCCCCACTAGGAGAAAGGCCATGCCAACATCATATGGTGGAGAGCTTCGGGCGGTTGCCGGTGTGTGTTGCCGAACTGCTGGAACTCTTTGCATTTTGGTATGTAGTCTTGGCAATCCGACTTCAGAGTGGGCCAGTAGTACCCAGCTCGGAGTACTCTGGACGCCATTGAGCGTACTTCGGAGTGCATGCCACATATGCCCCGGTGAATTTCCTCGACAACGTAGGCTGCCTGGGGCGCCGTTAAGCACTTGAGCAATGGGGTGGAGACGCCACGTTTGAATAGCTCATCTCCGACAATGGCGAATTTTGCCAATCTCATCCTCATTTTTCGAGCTTCGTCCTTGTCTTCGGGCAAGGTCCCTTCTTTCAAGTAACTCCAGATGCCTGTCATCCACCCTAGGTCTCCGTTGTCGCTGACATTAACGATTTTGTCGTCCAAACTGGGTGTGTGCAAGGTCTCCTGGATGATGGTTTGGTGCTGTCCAGGCCTTTTGGTGCTGGCGAGCTTTGATAGGAGGTCAGCTCGGGTGTTCTATTCTCGAGGCACATGTTGTATGGTGAACTCGTCAAAGGAAGAGATCTGGTGGGAGGCGACATGGAAGTACCGCTGAAGAAGAGTGTCATTTGCCTGGTACGTCCCACTGAGTTGCTCCACCATGAGCTTCGAGTCGTTGTTGCAACTCACTTTTCGAGCTCCGAGGTCGCGGGCTAGCCGCAGTCCTGCGAGGAGCGCCTCATACTCCGCCTGGTTGTTGGTCACCTTGAAAGCTAAACTTGAGGGATTGCTCCACAGTGACTTGGTTCGACCCTTCCAATATGATACCTGCACCACTACCTTTAGAGTTGGAGGACTCGTCAACATGTAAAGTCCATACCTGGGGTTCCTCGGCAGTAGTAGGCGTGAGCTCGACTACGAAGTCGGCCAGGCATTGGGCTTTCAGGGGTCCGCGACTTTCGTACTAGATGCCAAACTCAGACAATTCTACCGACCATGCAATCATCCGTCCGGCGAGCTCGGGCTTTCGCAAAATTTGCTTGATGGGGTAGTCGGTTTTGACTACCACCTGGTGACTCTAGAAGTATGGTCGGAGACGCCGAGCTGCGGTGACGAGTGCCAGCGCCAGCTTCTCGATCATTTGGTACCGCTTCTCCGCGTCTTGAAGGACTCGACTGATGAAGTAGATCGGCGTCTGCACTTTTTGATGCTCTTGCACTATAACTGCGCTGATGGGGCTTTCTGCTACGACTAGGTAGAGGAGGAGGTCAGTTTTGTGCTTCGGCCTCTACAAGATCGGCAGAGTTGTGAGAAAGGTTTTGAAGCTTCGGAAAGCCTCTTCGCACTGATCCGTCCACTGAAAGTCTTTTGGCTTCCGTAGCAGGGGGGAGATCGGCCTTGCCTTTTCAGCGAGTCTGGGGATGAAACGGGACAGTGAGACTAACTATCCGGCTAGGCGTTGGACCTCTTTCACCGTTTGTGGACTCTGCATCTGGATGATTGCTTTACACTTCTTGGGATTGGCCTCAATTCCTCTGCTGGTAATCATGAAATCGAGGAACTTGCCTCCTTGGACTCCGAAAATGCACTTCTCCGGGTTGAGGCGCATGTTGTGCCTCCTGATATGGGCGAACACCTCGGCGAGGTCGGAAGCATGGTCTAGGGCCGAGGTGGTCTTGACTACCATGTCGTCGACGTAGACTTCCATGTTCCGCCTGATCTGCCGGTGGAAGACCTTGTCCATCAGCTACTGGTAAGTTGCCCCTGCATTTTTGAGACCGAAGGGCATTACCCGGTAGCAGTAGTTAGCGTGGTCGGTGATGAAGGACGTATGCACCTCGTCGGGCGGGTACATCATTATCTGGTTGTACCCGGAGTAGGCATCGAGGAAACTGAGGTGGGCGTGTCCTGACGCCCCGTCGACCAGTCTGTCAATGCTCGGCAAGGGGTACGAGTCCTTGGGCATGCTTTGTTCAAGTCGGTATAGTTGACGCACATGCGCCACTTCCCCGAGCTCTTCTTCACCAGGACCACATTCGCCAACCATGTGGTGTATCTGACCTCACGGACGAAGCCAGCGTTCAACAATTTCTGAGTTTCGGTGATGATGGCCTTCCGCCTTTCGCCCCCGACCTTTCTCTTCCTCTGGGCAACTGGTCTTGCCTCCTTGTGTATCGCTAACCTGTGACAGATGAAGTCAGCGTCTATACCTGGCATGTCAGCGCTGGACCAGGCAAAGAGGTCAGCATTCTGGAGAATCTCCGCTTCGAGCTGTTGCCGCAAATTCGGGCTCAACTGCCTGCTGATTTTTGTGCACTGCCCGGGGAGTTTTCTGATTTTGAGGTCATCAAGCTCGTCAATGGGGCTTGGCCTCTCATCATGGGAGTCGGATCTTGGATCGAGATCGGTGATTTCCGCGTGGGTGATGTGAGCCACGGTGGGGGGATCCTTCTTGCTTTGCTCGCCAGTCAAGGATATCTTCAGACTCTCGGCGTAGCACTGCCGAGCTGTCTTCTAATTTGCTTTGACGGAGATGATCTTACCGTCGTTTCATGGGAACTTCATGGTGAGGTGTGGAGTGGACACTACTGCTCCAAGCTGATTCAACGTCGACCTCCCAATGATGATGTTGTAGGAGGTGTTGGCTTCCACCAGGAGATATCGGACCATAATTCTCCTTGTGTCCGGAGAGGTTCCGAAGGTGGTCAGCAGGTCCACGTATCCCCGAGTGTGTACTCGCTCTCCTGCAAAACCGACTAGGGGCTCTGTGTGAGGTTGGATGAGAGAGTGAGGGATATCTAACCTGAGGAAGGTCGGCTAATACAAGACATCTGTCGAGCTCCCCTGGTCTATCAATGTCTTGTGCACCTCCCAATTGGCTACCTCCACGGCTATGACCATGGGATCATCCTGGTTGGGACTGACGCCGACATAGTCGCTGTCGGTGAAGGTGATTGGCGGTGAACTTTGGTGCGAAGCTGAGGTAGCGGAATGAACACTGTTGATATTGCGCAGGTGTCTCTTCCGGGCTGAGCTGGTGGCACCTCCCCCTGCGAAACCACCTGTAATTGTATTGATTACTCCCCATAGGGGAGCTGATCCTGTTTCTTGGCTTACCTCAGCTTGCACTGCTCTGCCGACATTTTGCTGAGAGCTAGAGGGTTGGTCCGTGCGAGCTCTTGAAACGCGACCTCTGCCTCGCCCTCGTCCACCATAGCCTCCTCGGTGACCTTGCTATCGCTGGACATATTGGCCAAGGTGG